TATGACGATCATTTTATAAGGTGAAATCAACATGAGTAATTATAGCTTTATTTGCGTTAAATTTAATTTCTTGTATTTTTAAAATGATTCACTTATTAGTACACATTGAAAACACATCTATAATTGAAAGAAGATAAATAAAATGGAATTAATGTTTTATGCTTACAATTATTTCACCTTTTGCTCTTATATTAAATGAAACTAAATGAATTTGATAATTGAAAGATATTAAATATTATTAAATGACAATTTTAGCGTTAAGTTTATCATAAGTCACTCGCTTATAGTACAAATTGGGGACAACATTGTATCGGAGCACATTAAAGAAAATAAAAATTGTCGTGCTCTTACTGGTACAAATTTTAATGGTGCCCCTAAAATGACTTATTAAAGAAAAATGAAATAGAAAAGGTAATTATTGAAAATGATTTAATAAATATTTTTTTATAAAAAGAAAAAAATGTAAAGTTTACTTTATAGGTTGATCAACATGTTCCTTTGAGCATTTATATTAGGTATTTGCATAATAAGTTAGTACATAATAAATTTGTAATTATTTACTAAAGAGATGTAAATTTCCCATATATAATTGTTCTTTAAAAAAAAAACTATGCTAGCCTGATGTAACTGATAAGAGAGAGTTTGCTCACAAGAGATGAAATGTTGGAAATAGATAGCATACGTTGAATTTTACGTTAATTCGCTTTTATTTTTATTATTGTTCAAGTTGTATGAACTTCGTATTTTGTTAAAGGAGGTTTATTTATGTCTTGTGTATTAATTATTTCTTTTATAGTTGAACATAATTGTGGTCTATTGTTATTGTTTATAAGTGTACACTTTCATCATGTGATCGTCTATGCCCACCTTGACTAACTAAAACTTTGCGGACTAGGTCTTGACATTATATATGCTTAATAATGTAAATCAAGATTTTAGAAAACTAACAAGGCACTTGTCATGATTCAGGTCGAACCTTGAAATTAACCAAAAGCAGAAACAGACAATTGGACAATGAAACTAAGTTTTCTATAATTCAATTTCTATCGTTAACAGTTTAATATTCATATATTAATTAAAAATGACGATGGAGCTTCCTCGAGTAGCGGCGCCATATCTGCTACAGTGTCACGGACGTGGGACAGTAGCAACTACATTACTGCGGTCCAACCCTTCTCCTCTTTCCTTTTTCGTATCCCTTCTTTTTTCATGATAATCTTATTTTATTTTCTACTTATTCTATATATGTGTTTTCTATTTCTTTCCTTTCCTAAGCATTATCTATTATTTTTACAGATTTCCATTACACGCACGCACGCGCGCATACACACACACATGTGTACAAAAGATTTCTTTCGGGTTCAAATTCGAATGAGAACAGATTTCTGAGAGCCGTCGTTTAAATGTTCTTCACCTCTGAGGGTCGTACCATACAACGAGAAGATGATCCAGTTGTAATTCATTTAAGGTGGTGACTGTCTTCAATGGTATCCCTGCTGCAGCTCGAACCTGACGAGACATTCATCTTTCTGCAACCCCTCTGGCCCCGCTTCAAGCATAAACCTTCTTCTCAACTGTCGTCCAGGCCTCCATCCTCCTTCCTACTACTCTCCATGCCTCCGGCCTTTTCCCTGCTGCTCCCAAGACCCTACCCGACCGGCCCCTGCCGCCAACAACCCCTCTCAGGCCTATCTCAGAGGATGTCCAGCCACCGACGCCTATCATAGAAGTTGTCCGGCCACCTGCTTCTATTACCACTGTTGTCTGCTCCCTTGGACACTGATGTTGACCCTGCCATTATTTTGTTACAGCCCCAGGTCACCGCAGCTCCCTCCTGCCACCCTCCAGCAACTCGTTTATAACCACCACCCCGACCATCTGATTCTTTTATGCTTCCCGTATTGTCCAGCATTTGTTCAGTCCACCGCAAGCACCTTCCAAAAGCTATCCGGCCCACCTGTGCCTCATGCCACCCTCCCCCGGATCTACCGCTCTTTTCTTAGATGGTTGTTTATGTATTTCGTGTTACTTTATATCTTATATTTTTGCAGTGTCGTCTTATCCTTTCCACTTATATGTTTGTTTTCATTTATTTCATGTTTGCAAGAGTCTTATTGTACTTTTTTGAATTCAGTAATAATAATTATTATTTTCATTGTGGTTTGGGCTTCCTCCAGTATCAGAAAGAGCCACTAAAGAATGCAGTATGCAGAATGCAGTATGCAGAATGCAGTATGCAGAATGCAGTATACAGAATGCAGTATGCATGTTGGTTTTTTATATTTCATTATAAAAAATCATATAACAATCTAATGCATGTGTTTATGATATAAACTAAATGAAAATAGCTTAAATTTCAATATGCATTAACTTTAACTTTCGAAATGAATATATTTGTGATAGGTTTGGTGTAGCTCCTATGACAGACAAAATTAGATAAAGTTGTCTTACATGGTATTAAGCGTCGACCATCTAATGATCCGATTAGGAGAGTAGATGTTTTGGATTCGACTTATGTAAAGAAAGGTAGAGGTAGACCTAGGAAGACTTGGGCTTATTGTATAAAAAATTATCTTAATTTATTTGAACTAAATGAAAATATAACACTAAATAGGACACAATGAAGAAAAAGGATTCATGTAGCTGACCCCATATAGTGAGATTAAGGCTTTGTTGTTGTTGTTGTTGTTGTATTAACTTTATTATGTAAGGTTTAATCTTTTAACTTTACTTTTATTCTATACTCTTAACATTCACAATTGTCTCAGGAGCACCGTCAAATTATAACATAACACACCCCCGACTAATATTATCTCGTCGGCACAACGATTCGTAATCTAATTTACATGACTGTCTAAGGTGGAAATCTGTTTACTCGCCCCTGACTGATATTATCATGTCGGCATGGCGGTTAGCAATCTAAACAACACAATTATCTATGGTGGTAGGATAACATCTATGCACACAGGTAGGCATCTCATGCATGTACTATAAAGGGGTGAACTCCTATTACCATATACATATAAACATTTATATTTATATCATTTCATTTTTCATAACATATATCATTCGCTTATGAGACACTTTACATTTATTTACTAATAAATAATTACATTCTTATTAAATATATAGATCATGAAATAAATTGATTTATGCACCTATACTAGAATTTATATATCATACAGTAATATGACATTTTAGAAAGACTATGATGTAGTGACATCTTCTTAGAAAAATTATAATGCAACTATGTACACAACATTTTTAACATGCATATTTCAGGATTAATGATATGAAGAATCATGTGCAGTTTAATTTTATTGATACAAGACATAATAGTAAAAAATTATAAGTAAAAATATATTTAAAAGTAAAACATATTATTGTAACTTAAAAGCATAATTAACAACCTCAATCTTTAGGAGACCTATTTATTAGCTAATCATTCACTTAACTTCTTTGCTAATCTTTTCTCAGTTTATTGTTACGCAATTAATATTATAAAACATTTTCAAAACGCACATTAATTTAGGTATTTACATATCTTCTAAATTAAAAGACATATAAGTAGAATCATACAAACTACCTCACTTTGTCTGGCAAAGTCAAAAATTCTTCAATATCATAACTCAATTATTCTTCACAATTCTATTCACTAGGTTCGACTAACAATAATTAATATCCACATGACACTTAATTAAAATATTTATATAATTAAATTAAAAGGGGTAGTAATAAAATTATTTAAGCTCTATATTCACCAATGTCAATTCTTCCCCTAATCTCATATGAATGCTTTGCTTAAATAATCATTCAGTTAAAATATGTGATACACATCTATTAAAATAGCTCTAACATATAACGTAAGCCTTGGTCTTCCTTTACCGCACGCAAACTCGGCTTCTTCTCTCGTACGCAAGCAACTAGTGTCTCACGACTTCGTCTCCTCTACTTGAACCCGCGAGCAAAGCCGCTAAGCTTCCTGCTTCGCACGAGAGCTCCTCTTCTCCACCTTTTTTTCCTTCACCTGTAGACGAGTCCCTCAACTGACTCTCTTATTGCTTAGTACACAAAGGACGCCCACACATAGATCCTCCTCTCTTTTGAAATTTGGTGAAGCCAAGGCTTTGCACACCAGGTACACTCTTGCTCGCATCGCCGTGATTCTTCCTTCTAACTTTGCTCTTCCCTATTGTACAAGACATCTGCTCCCTCCTCGCAAGCCAGCACAACACAGTGACCCTTGTGCTTATCTTCCACACTAGTTTCAACACTCTCAGGTAAACCCACTGCAAGTGGCAACTTCACTTTCTTCCCCACGTACCCACACAGGATGGCGACGCTTCTAGCCTGGCAAGTGCTTGAACTCTCTCCTCATCTCGGCAAGGGTTAAACGTGTGACCCTGACTTCCTCTTATTTTATTCTTATTATTATTATTCTTCTTCTTATTCTTTGCTCGGCTACGGCACTAACTCCTTCACATTGTCTTTCTCTAGCTCTGACTCTCCCTATTTCTCTTCGTTGGTTTGAATGAGAGGAAATGAGAGAAAAAATTGTTCGTTTGATTTGTTGCGTGTGTCCCGTCTCCTTCAAACGACAGCTATTTTAATTTTTTTTAAGCAGATTAAAATTTTAAAACAGGTTATTGCAGAACTGACATAAGCATTGGTGAAGCGAGACAAGTTGATAAAAACTTTAATTCATGAAGATAAATACAAAAGCGATTAAAAAAAAAGACAATAAAAACTAAAAAGGAATTAAACATATCAAAATAATGACAAATCTGAACACACCGCCATGCATTTAATTGAAATCCAAAAGTCATAACACCACTAATTATTATGATTTAATTAATAGGTAAAAATTTTGTTAGGTGGTACTGCATCATCAATAGGTAAATGTCAAACCCTAAACTTTTTATCCAAAAAAAAATGAACGGCAGGATTAAAAGTAATAAAACATGAGAAAATTAAGCATCAAGTCTGGAAGTAAGAATTACTTAGCATCTTCACGGAGCTGGAAGAGGTCACGCAAATTTTCTGCTGAAAGACTATTTCCCTACTGTCTAG